TTATTGTTTGTTGGGGTGGGGCCCTATGTTAGACAGTACATACAAGTATTTCTAGCTGCATATTTGTGATCATGATGTGCGACTTGTAACAATGGTCCAAGTGTGAACAAGGATGGTAACGCCTGCTAAAGGCGGAAGTTTGTAGTGGTCATAACTTCCCAATGTATCTGTGCACCCCCTTTTTACTTGTACAACCCTTCCAAAATGTTCCTTTCAAGGATATAAATGGTTAATCATGTGACACAGGACCTCCACGTGATGCCTAAACCCTCCTCTTCCCACCTGTCTAATAATGGCGCTGGTGTGCCGCAGCACAGGGCTGAAATTGGTACTTAGATAGCTCTCAGGTTCACCACTCCCAGATGTGCGGGCCCCCCACTCTGCACGCCACCGTCAGTTCCCGGTATCGGTTTTCCTGCTGGACTACCTACACTTCCAAATGTGGAGTTGGTTGTAAGAGTGTTTGTTTGATATTGTCGGCCATGTGGTGAGCACAGTCAGCAAGTAGCTGAAACCGGAGGAGATCAAAACAATTGTTCCTCCAGGGCAGGGGCAGGACTTGAACTCAAGCCTTTTCTCGCTTATTTCCCAGTTTTACCCAAGTAAGCAGGCTATGGTACTGCTACACCATGCAGCCCCCTAGAGCAGAGATGACACAGATGGACGCTGCTTTGGCAACGGGTGCAAACATTTTGCTGAAGTCAATACCTGGTACTTGAGAGAAACCTTGAGCAACAAGATGTGCTTTATATACCGATCCTCCCTTCTGATCTTCTTGGAATTTGAGTACCCACCGACAGCCAATTGCCTTGTGACTCTTGGGGAGAGGAACGAGCTCATAGATGTTCATCTCATGCTTCATTGCTGTGAGCCAGAAGTCCCTATTGGTGTGACATAGAGCTTTGTCATAGGTGTTAGGGGGAATCTTCATGTCATAGTTAGGTGTCTGCGGGTCACATTGAGAATCACTGTGAATCAAGATACAAGCAAGTTCAGCAATTATGAGGTTGGCTAGAGCATGGGGAAATCCTACTGTGTCCAGATCAGGATGAATGGCTGTGTCATTGTCGTCCGCATTGTCAGCAAGGGGATGAGTGGGAGCTGGCAGGAGCGTGGTGTAGCACTCGGGTTGGCATTGGGCACATATCCTGCCAATCTCACAGGTATCTCACATTATACTCCTCAACACTCCTCTTACCTTCCAAGAGTTCTGTGCACTCATCTGAGTCATCCGAAGGTCATCTGTCTGTTTCCAAAGCCAGTTTTCACTTGTGATCCTCGTACCATGTCCTGTCTGTGTCCGTTTGACTTTGCTGGTGCATTTTCATTTCACTTGTCTGTTATTGATTATGTCTTAGGGGTCAGCACACCTCGTGCATTATTACATGCATATCTCTGTAGTGGCTCGCTTTGAGTCATATCACATTTCAGATAGCTTATTTCGCTACTGTTCTTGCCTACACAGTTTCCAGACTTTCATGCTGTAGGATATAATCTGGCTCGCTAGTTACTTGCACTTCACTTTACTTCTCTTACTACAAGTTATAGTTAGTAGAACTTTTTTCGATAGTCGTACTTCATGCAATTGATCCTTCTTGTTCATTCAGAATGATTGTTTGGCTTGACCGCTGCTATTTCACATCTCGCTGTCTTTGAGTTCTTTTGATAGGCTTTGCTTAGTCATACTTTGGTACTTCCGCAAGTCTTACACTTGGACACATTTCGACATTCCCACCATATTTCTCTCTTGGAACCTTCACTGTTCATCAGAAGCTCTTTGGACACTTCACACAACCTTGGACCTTTGTTTCTTGACTTCGGACCACCTTCAGATGCATCCTTGGAACATCAGACACACCTTGGGTAACCCTTCCAACTCTCATCTTCAATCTTAACTAGACATCCCTTGCATTTTATATCAAGAGGTATTTCTACAGGCAGTCTCTTTGGGTCAAATCACACTCACACCTTTGAGTTCTAAAGGTAACAACTTTTATAGCGCTTACATAGAATCAACTCTTTACAGTGGGACATGGTAGGATGGGAGCTGGTGGGATAGGCACATTGGAGTTATCTGCAGGTGGGACACCCAGGACACAAGCTTGCCTCAAGTCACACTGACAACGGAGTTAGGCTGCATCATTGGCTAGCTGTTTACAGTAAGCATGTCCATGTTCAGTAGGGTTCTGATTCCTATCAGAACAACGAGCAGGAGCAGAAGGAATTGGTGTATTAGCAACTGGAGTAGGAGCCACAGGACATGGTGTATGTGTGGCATGGGGTGGGTCGTCATTGTCTTCATCATTGCTGTCAGTGTTGGGGAATGGTTGGTTTGACAAAGACGATGTCTTGAGAGTTCAAAAATGCCCCCATCACTGAGTCTCAACAATGCCAAGCTTTGACTCCTAACAGATAACCCATGAAAATTGCTTCGTGAGATCATGGTCCCAATTTCTCCTGTAGCTCAGTAGGTATACACACAAAGCATCTAGCGCTGAATACACGAAGGTGCAAAACATTAGGTTTCATACCATGCAACATCTCATAGGGCGTCTTCCCAGGCTCAAGAGAGTGAGACTCTGTGCAATTGAAGAGATATGCTGCACAGAGAGCTGCTTCACCCCAGAGATTGTGCAGTAAGCGGGTGCGGTCAAGCATGGCATACATGCGGCCTTCAATGGTGCGTATGACCCTCTCTGCCTTACCATTCTGCTGATGTGCATAAGGTGCTGATAGCTGCTGCACAATCCCTAGTGAACACTGCATTCAGAAATTCACTCCCATTGTCCAAGCGAAAAACTTTCACTCAGAGCCCCAATTGATTCTCCCAATGTGCACGAACAAGACGCCAAGTGTCCAAAGCCTGATCTTTTGTCACAAGAAGTTGGAGATCCAGGATGTTTGTGTGGTCATTGAGGAAGATAATGAAGTAGCATTTATTATGGGGCATGGTGACAGGTATTGGACCACAGAGATCAGAATGAATGAGCTCTAGGAAACAAGTAGTACAAGCAGAGTCTGATGAGGGATGAGGACAGCAAGGATGTTTACCCATAATGCATGAATCACATTTTGATAGGATGGACCTGGCAGAAACCATCGCACTGGTGGCAAAGAGAGGCAGATGCCAGATGGACTCTCCACTGATCTGACTGAGGTGAGCGTGCCACAGGTCAAGTGTGGGGGTGATGTGAGTGAACACAGTGAGATCCGAGGGGGATTGTGTGATGGTGGGTGTGGTGTGCTGGGGAGCAGGGAGAAACTCAAGGTATACATAGCACAAGTTGTTAGCCATGGGGATCATGCCTAACTCAGTCCCTCAATAGACAAGCTCACAGAGAGGAGGTGACACCTGGAACACAGTCCCATCCTTTACTCAACATTAGCCCACCAACAGCAGATTCAACATTGCTGTCAGTGCATGCAGACAGTTCAATAGGTGAACATGATGCCTGGTGCTGCCAATTGTCAGAACTGCAATGCAGTCACCTCGACCAGAAGTAGACAAGCTCCTGTGGTTGGCTGTATGGATGGTGACAGCATCTGCAGCAGAGTACAACCAAAAGTATGATCGGTCATGGATGAGCGTTGTTGTTGTCCCTGAATCCAAGATAGTGTTGAATCCAGCAGCAACAAGGTGAGAGAGAGCCATGGTGTCCGCAGGAGCCAGATCAACAATGGAGGCACACAAGAGGTCTGCAAGGAGGGACTCTATTGCAGTTCCTGTCCCTGCAAACACAGCTATCACCATAGATGAAGGCAAGATAATGGATGTGAGATGTCAGAAATTCCTTATTTAGATTTCAGCAGGTTTGCAACCGGTTTCAAGGTCCAAATGCACTGCGTTGTAGAACTTGGAGTCCTTGTGGCCTCGTAGAGGTCTATTTTCCGATGCATGTGGAATGCTAATCATTATCCAAATCATTCCCTATCATATCCGACTCAATATGCACCAAACCCGAAAACATCGGACATCGGGTTTCGCATCGGCCGATCGGATATCGCACACACTTGTCCTACCTATGTCCAGTCTCATTGCACTAGCCCCACTAGGTGCATAGTTACTTGTTTTCACATCACTAACATTGTTGACCGTGTTATTACATGTATTCCCATAGTCCGCAGTACATCATGTCTTATTACATAGGACATCGGACCCAAAATATTGTGCTACTACTTTCGCCTATAGGGTTCCAGATTCCTATGTATCTACATAAATATTGGACTCCCCATAGCATCATCATCATCTGAGTAGAGGAGAATCATCTCTGATGCTTAGGGGTCAAACCCAATATTTCGTAGTTCTTAGTTGACATTGCGAATATCATCGTTCCTTCACCGTCCGTATCCATCATCGTTATCATTGCGCACACCGCTCGCTTCCCCGATGCTTGCTATAGCGTTACTATTAGTTTCCGATACACCCGAACCCGAACCCGATAACCCAAAACCCGAAAAACATCGGACCCGACACTTTTGCATTGGACATTGTAATTATACCTTCGGACATTGTTTCCCGCGCTCCGATTATTGACCTCACATCACCCACTGACCCCCAAAACTATTCCCAGACCGCAGACCCCTGGGTCGAACACACTTGTCCTGCAAGTATAGCAGATAGGCAGTGCAAGACCACAACATACAGATATCAGTTTGGAGCCATCTTTGTATAGCCCCACTCTGTGTCGTATACCTACAGCGTGTCTTTAAATAGGTTGCCATAATAGAGTCATGATTTCAGCGTGATTGCAACATAATTTCAACATGATTACAATGTAATTGTCATTGTTATTTAAATGAACTTGAACATTTGAACCTCCCATTTAAATGACTATTGCAAGCACCATAGCGATCATTTTAAGTTCATTGTCATCAATGGCAACTCATAATAATCAGATTGCAGTATTGAAAAATTGCATTTCCCTACGTACAGTACAAATTGTATTTTAAAAATATCATTGGAATCTTATCATTCTGCGATCAAACAAGACCAGCAGCTCATGACACAAATTGCTGCAGCTGTAGAGGCCCAGCTATGCGCACAGAAACAACAGCAACAAGACCCTAGACCTGCAGAAGGGTTGACTGCACCAATGGCTGAGTGGAAAATGGAGCTAAGCACAAGAAGAATAGGGCACAGAGCACGAATGGCTATGCAGCTTCCATTGCCTGGCAGGGACTCTCAAACTGTAAGTCACCCTACCACTGAAGTTAATAGGCATACCAGATAGAAGGTGGATGGGGCAACAGACCATTTGATATCGCTCATTCTGTGAGCTTCCATTGCCTGGCAGAGACTCTCAGACTGTAAGTCACCCTACCACTGAAGTCAATAGGCGTACCAGAGAGTAAGGTGGATGGGGCGGACCATTTGGTATCCTCTGCTTGTTCTGCGAGCTTTCATTATCTGGCAGGGACTCTCAATTGACAGGGTGATCTCTCCATGAGCATAGAGGACAAGGTCAATTCTCCAAGACCTTGGCAGGGACTTAATACTAGCCAACAAATACTCAGAGGAGGGTCAGTCTAAGTGTGAATGAGGGAGAGCTCGATACTCACTATTTTATTAGTGGCCGATGTCGATTCATTGTGATGTGGCCAAGAGTTGTGTCTGAATGGTCAGTACCAATATGAATTTGATGGAAGCACAGACTTAACTTGAATAATGTCTGGCAAATTATTCTAATAGGCCATGTCAGACAATTCTGAATCAGAGACCCTTAGTGTTGGTACCAACATCTGAATCCGCAATCCAGTGGTAATATTAATAACTGCCTGACATTTAAATCCAGAACATGGACAATTTAAAGCAGTATGAACGATACTTAAAGCTTGTTATTAGGTCTAGAGAGAAAGCGCGAGGAGGTCCAGGGTAACGGCTGCAATTTAGATGGTGAAAATTAGCAAGGCAGTGGTGGTTTGATTTCAAGCCGTTGTAGGACTTGGAGTCCTTGTAGCCTCATAGAGGCTCTTTTTGCAGTGTCCCTTAGGTCATAGCGCAGTGTGTTGGTTCTGTCATGCATCTTCCCTCTGTCCTATCCATGTCCTCCGCTTGTCCATTGGTGCGTATTTTATCTCGTTTGCATTAGGCTGACCATATTTCTGAAGCTATATCGCTTATATTCTCATTACTTGTGTTATGGACCCTTGATATGTATTACTGCTATCTGCTCGGCTCCGAACAGCACTATGCGCGCTATCATATATACTCAATACTTTAGATTTTTCATGTATCTTCTGTTCCCACTATCGAAATTATCATCTGTTTGCACGCAACACTCAGACTAAGAATCTAAACCTTCAGCCGACTACATCGTGTGCTGCATTAATGGTCGCGCTAAATGTTCGCACTTCACTCATTGCACTTATCATCAGACTCTCCTCCCATTTTACCCTCACATTGCATCACCTTCACGTTTCCACTAAAGGCTCACTCACATATCCTTCAACTTTTCTCCGCACCTTCGCGCTCCGTCAAACTTTTGGCCGCTCAGTCATGTATCATATCGCACCTTCGGCGGTTCACTCACGCTCACATCACATCAGCACAATGTCGCGTGCTTCTTCCATTCTCAGTTACTCTTACTAGTTTCCAAGTTTCCCCTCACATTTTACTTAGAGGAATCGTCCTCAGTAGCAATCCCCTTGGGCTGAATAATATACTCGCATCCAGAGGTCTATTTGAGTTTTACCCCACTTCACCCTTTCTCCCCCTTTCACCCCTTCTCATCTAGCTATCATTCCTCACACACACCATTCAAAATCTTAGAAAGGCAATCAAATCAGATTTGTTTAGTCTTGTTTGTTGATTTCAAGTACCTCAACAGACCTTTGACAAGATTTCGACCATCATGCACAGCAATTTAAATTGATTTATCCATTGCATAAGAATTCGGACTGACAGAATACAGTAACAAAGTAAACTAACGAGCTAATACTAATCAATGCAGTCTACAGGAATTACAGAATCAATGACTACAATGAAGACTATTTGTGAGACCGGATATTAGCATGATTCGCACTGACGGAAGCTGCAGCTTTCCTCCCTCTGGTCTTTGCCTGCTTCCATCTGCCACTTGGTGCAGGTTCTGCATCCTCAGGTACCTCGTCTACTATTACCGCTGAACTGACACTCTCTTGCACAATATCAGGTTCAGGCCCACTGGCAGGTGCTGCCTCTGAATCCACATTTGGAGGACCGACAGCAGCGGCTACACCGACATCGACAACAGGACCAGATGTGGCTCTTGCAGTGTGCTGCTGTAATGTGGACAGGTTTGGTTGTGATATTGAGCCTGAAACACGCTCCAGGTCTGCAATGGCTGCATGTCTGGCAGTTTCTGGGTCAGACATGTCTGATTCGTCAGTTGAACTTTCCATATCAAGCGCTGTGAGTGCTCGATCAATCATGTCAGTATGATCTTCCTGTCCAGCCAAATCCAGGGCGGAAAGTTTTGTGGCTTGGAAGATGTAGTGATTGATATTGGTTACAATTAGTGTGATGCGCCTTGTACTCCATTTTGATACTAGAACCTTCTTGTAGGTGAAAAACAGTTCCCTGTAGTTTAAAGCTGGCCTCTTTCCGATGCCTGTGCTTGAGAATTCCGTGTCAGGCAACAGTAGAAATATTGCCTGCAAAATAGTGTGTAACCGTAAATTGGATTGACATATTGCTGGCTTACGATGACTGCGGCCCATGCAATGGAACCTGGTGTGACTTGCCGAACACTCCACTTCATTGAGTTCATATGGGCGCTGCTGCCACTAGAAGTTTGATGAAGTGATGTGATGCCCCGCAATGAAGCTTTCAGGGCCTAAGGATAGAAGTTCCTAGTGAGACCAACAACAAAGACAGAGAAAGGTACTCGAAGACTTACTTGTGCCAGCAGTTTCCAGTTCCCAAAGACAGTCTTGAGTGATTTATCCTCCACCAACCCTGGGAACAACACTGGAGGGAATGTCTTGTACGTTGGGTTTGCCAAAGATGTGACCCCAAGGAGTCGTTGGATCTCGATGATGTTGGCTCTGTTGTAGCTAGTATTGGTAACGTATTTTGAAGGAAGCTCAAAAATATCGCCAGCAACCCCGCGAAGCTTTTTGATCTCATTGGCATGAGTGTCTGCAATGCATTTTGTTACCTACAATGAGCATGTTAGTAAGTCACATTGCACGAAAAGTCCAGGAATGAGAGCCCACTTACGAGATCACTAAAGTATGAACTTTCCATCACCTTGTGCAATGACTCGGGAAAGTGGTGATAGAGCTCGTCTATGAATGTCGACTCTTGAGTAGATCCAGTCTTGTAATGGTCAATGCTGTCAAATGGAATCAGAGATTCCGGCAAGCATTTGTTAAGGAGGTCGCTGCTGAGAAACATCTCGACCATCATGCCATATTTGCGAGCATAGATAGAAATGGTGTCCTCGTGAATGCTGAATTCATCGTGAGTATCTGTGCGCCATTTTTGCTTAGGCTTCTTAGCATGCAGAGTTTTTTTTTCCTCTTTGATATTTCTATTCTCGTCCTGGAGCTTCTGCATTTGAATTTGCAAAACTTTGAGAGTCTGACATGCCAAATAATGTGAAAGTTAAGAAACACTCAGAATTACATGTAAGTCTTACCTCTAGAAGTTCTCCTTTGGACGCGCCGGGGCCAGGAACAGATACAATGCGACCAGAATCGGCATCTTGATCATCCCATTCACTGCTGGATGAATCTACTGCAGGCTGCAAAATGTGTGACATGTCGGTAGTGAAAGACAGTAGTCCAGATTCTGTTCAAGTTCAAATTCTAAGGGTCAACTCGACAGAAGATGACAGAAAATCACTCACATAAGACTGCATTTTATTAAGTCCCTGCACCACCAAATAGGACAATGAGGCCAGACGTAAAATCACTAGCTGCAGCCTTACATGGGGAACCGAAAATGTTGATCAGTCAATGAAAGATGTAAGTGATAGTTAGCACACCAATGTAAAATCACGATTTCAGTGCGATGCTCTTCGAAGTAATAATAAAACACATTTTAAAGGTGCTGCATGACGTGATAAAGCTCTGCTGGAAGTATTAAATACTGCAGAGAAAGGATATATGATGTCAAGATCAGATGTGAAGTCAAAATGCTGGATCCTAAATGACATACCAATGACTGAATTTACGTAGCCCACGTTCTGGGCATCACTGAGTTGACATAATATCAGAGGGCAAAAAATGATGAGATGGGTAGATTCAGATGCCAGGTGAGACAGTCGAGCCTCATGGAGATTCAGATGGTTATCAATTAGTGGTGGGTGGTGTGTCAATAGTTGAGGCGATTAGAATGGATGGCAGGGGGTCATGGTGGTCCAGTGCATGAACATTGTTCTGCTTGAGAACAGCAAGAGCAGCGGTCTGAAACTGGTGGACAAGCGTGACAGAAACACCCTTGAAGAAGTTCTTCAATTGCCTGAACTGTGGCGAATCTGGGCAGAGGTCCAGTGCATGAACATTGTTCTGCTTGAGAACAGCAAGAGCAGTGGTCTGAAACTGGTGGACAAGCATGACAGAAACACCCTTGAAGAAGTTCTTCAACTGCCTGAACTGTGGCAAATCTGGGCGGAGGTCCAGTGCACGAACATTGTTCTGCTTGAGAACAGCAAGAGCAGCAGTCTGAAACCATGGATGAGCGTGACAGAAACACCCTCGAAGGAGTTCTTTAACAAGGAAGGAAAATCATCTAGTATTGGTCATTGGCTCTTTTGATCACTGATCTAGTTTATTACATTAGCAGAGCGCCTGATTGAAGGGATGACAGACTCACCAGGGAGTGGAATATGTCAGATGCGCACAGGATGTCCTGCTTGCAGGTGCATTGCCCTTACATGAAGGAACATATCCATGTCAGTGGTGTCAACGATGAGGTAATCAAGTGAGTTGCCATCCTGCACTAGAAGCGCTCCACAAATGATGGATCTAACTGAGAAAAATTCTGCCTGAGCATGTGGTTTTGCTCAGACCCTGAAAAGATTAAGCTGCTTATCTTTTCAAAGCTGCTGGCCTGTCAGCACATCAAAGGGGTGGACAAGAGCGAGGGAAAACAAGTCGTTCCCAACTGCACATTCAAAAAGAAAGATTAGGTGTCCAAGAATGATGCTGTTATTTGTCTGGATAAAGGCACAGTCAAAACATGGTGCATTGAAGAATCATGGATTACACCGGAGATAGTCAGTGTGTTGTTGCCAATCCACCAGCGACTCATAGTTGACTTGTAAGAATCTACACTCAGTAATCTATTTCTAATGAGTGTAGTGACAAGAGGCGGGATTGAATGAACCTACCAAGTCATCTGATTTGAAATGAATTCTTTTTCCACCTGGTAGCAGAATGTTGCAGGCAGGCAAGAACGTGTTCAAGAAATCATTAAGCTTGATGCGGAAGTTGGTTAATCCAACATCAGCTTGATGTGCGCTCTCAATGAAAGCGAAGGTCTGTGCTGCTTGTTTTGACCCAAGTTTGATGTGCAGTGATGGATCCAAGGAAACGATACCTGGACCGTCCTCGATGGCAGTTACAGTGTCTTCTGGATCATCATCTTCCTGTAAATTGTCACCTGTATCTTTCAATTTCAGCTGTGAATACTCGTTGAAGTCCGATATATGGCGACTGATGTCATCTGCGACATGCAGCCAGTGATCAATGTGAAGAATCTGTAAATATAGCATGAGGTTGTTAGTAGGGAATGACCATTTGAATCAATCAATTTGATACATTGCCTGCTCTGTAATATTTTTGAAGTTTGTCCAGTTCAAGTACCAGTCCTTCAAGTGGCTGTGCATCTGCTCATTCGGCTTGGTGTTGTAATTGCACGAAGTGCCTTTAGCTTCGATGTCGTCGAATATATGCGTACTCATGTAAAGTTTTGGGAAGTTCTAATTCTTCTCATTATCATCAGCGGTTTTGTCCATATATTGCTGTTGACATGTCAGGATATAACAGCTACAGATGAAACTACAAGGTATTACATACCCCCATGAGTGCCATGAATGCTTGGATGGTATGTTGTCCCTCGCTGATTGTATCAGATGTATGAACTTCCAGTGCAGCATATATGTCCATTTCAAGGTAAAGGCACACACATCGTAGGAGAAGATAACCGAGCAGAGAATCATGCTCAGTCAAGACATCATGCATTGCATAGATTATCATCTAAGAAAAGTCACTATTACACAAATAAGATGGTTAGATGACTGCGCCAGCTCACAACCTTAGAAATATCCTCATGAACAGAACAGTCTGTGAATGTAACACTGAAAACCTTGTTCGGGTGCTTGAGGTTCCACCAGCGTGGAAATTTTTCGTAGCTACATAGCAATAGTATCAATTATCAGATTGACGGATTGAAAATGAACAAACCTCTTGTTGACTTGCGATACTGCCTCCCTTCCAAGGATTCCGAGGTATTTCTGCACTTTAACCCATAGATGGCATGACCAAAGTCCACCATGATTGAAGTGACAGCGGTCATGCGACAATGCTCGAAAAACACAGGTGAATGCCACAGCCCAAAACACATTCTAAAAACAACCAGTCTTAGATATCTGCACGAAGAAACATTCCCTTACCTCGATGAAATGAAGGGATTGTTCTTTCAGGAGTGCCTCTCTCTCTTCGAGCGTTTCTTTTGCGTGTGCAGTGTTCACAAGTGCCCGTGACTCTTTTGATGTTCGTTGGCGATAAGTTTTCGAAGCATCCCAAAGCTCATCTCGAGGAATGAGGCAAACAGGACATGGCCAGAGGCTCATGAGTCCTCATGTAAGTGACATGACACATCTGTATGATAGTATTAGAAACGAACAAAAAATGTAATCAAATACTCCCTGTTCTTCAAAATCGGCCGATAGAATGAGAATACAAAGAAAGAACCAATGCTTAATGCCAACTAGACATTCAAACCACTGCCCTGTTTGCGATTTTGAGGCTAACAAAGAGATGATCCATGCGAAGGACTGGTGCCAGACAGTATTCTTAAAGTTCACCCAGCTAGGCTTTCCAGAGTACAATTTTTCATCCTCCACCTATTCAAACCGCATCAGAAGTACTAATGATGAGTGAGGAAAGCAAAATCGCACAATTGGCAACCATCCCACCACATAGCCACCACCTGTGCCTCGTCTGTTTCAAATTTCAGTTGGTAGGTTCACTAAATGAGCATAAACCAGATAACCCTTTGCAGTGCCAAATGAGGATAATTTTGTTTTGTCGGCATACAGTATATAGGCCAGTGGCTTAGCACCTGGTGGGAGTTGTGACTACAAAGTAATACAATGAAAACACAAACATGACCAAACCACTAGTATTACATACTTGTATATCCCAAATGTCCTGCGCAGTGAAAGGTTTGTCAACAAAATGAACAAAAGTGGCTCCGTCAAACTTTGAAAAATGATGGGCATCAAATGAGAAGTGTGGAAAGAGGCAGGGATTCCGAAGCATGTCAGCAGCTAAGTCCCAAAGGTCCCGGTAGTGTACCTCATAGTCTCGTGATACACTGTCACCATTGTAGGTAACCAAAATCACCTCCTTTGTGAACTGCGCTTCAATAATGTTATCAAAAGTCTCATGAAATTCAATGTATAAATGTGAATGCACCTTTGTGACACGATGCAAGGCCACCTCCCACAAGCTATGAATGTCCTTGTAGTTTTTGAACAACATTTTCTCTTTTCCTATGGCACATCAGTGACACAACTTGATGAGGCGATCAGTTTGTTTGTTGTTTAGCCCAACCTCAAGAATGATCTTGGCGATTTTGAATTCAAGGCATGATTTTAATGGATGCCAAGGGTGTCCATCAGGTGGGGGAATCGAGGTTGTGGCAGGATGACACTCAAAAGTATTGAATCTGTGTATACTGGTCATGATACCACTGTTTGGGTGATACTCGACTTTGATATCATCGTGATTGAAGGTGGGGAATGCATCTGTGAGCTCAGGTTCCTCAAGAATGGGAACATCTTTATTAGATAGTGTTAGTGTGAGCAGAATGAATCTGCATATCAACTCACCGATCATTTGATCACCAAAATCAAAGCCTATATCGTCCTGAATATGTGCGGATTCTGCGTGATGTTGCCATTCAACTGAGATTGTGAGCATAGAACATACTAAAACATAACTATAACTCACTTGGCACATTGATATTACCTGTCCAATGTTTGTCAAGTCTTGTGGAGGAAGGACCTGCCGCTATTGTACAATATGAATCAGCTTTGACAATGCATGTATTGGGATAAAGATAAAACAGTCGGAAATGTACCATTCTCTTGATGAATGCCATCTACAATAACTTAATCCTGACATTGCTTTTCCGCCTTTGTTTCGCAGGACTTTCGGTGGGTGGTGTAGCCTCGTGGCTTGATGTGTTGGTCACATAAATCACAATGTTTTGTGTGTTCTGGACCCATGAATAAGTTGACAGTTATATACAAAAATAATTGGAATGGGGCCTTGTCGATAGAGCAAGGGGATGGGTGCAGGCGTTGAACGGTGATGGTTGGGTGCTTCAATACACCTACTAATATGGATGGTATGAGCCTTGCAATAGATTGGAACTCAGTCATCAAATTGCCTTGGCATTTCAGGGGGCATTTCAACATATTTGAACAGCATGCAAATGGCATGTCAACGATACATCATTGCAACCGGTGTAGGACTTGGAGTCCTTGTAGCCTCGTAGAGGTCTATTTTCTGATGCATGTTGAATGCTAATCATTACTCAAATCATTCCCTATCATATCCGACTCAATACACACCAAACCTGAAAACATCGGACATTGGACATCGGGTTTCACATCGGCCGATCGGATATCGCGCGCACTTGTCCTACCTATGTCCAGTCTCATTGCGCTAGCCCCACTAGGTGCATAGTTACTTGTTTTCACATCGCTAACATTGTCGACCGCGTTATTACATGTATTCCCATGGTCCACAGTACATCATGTCTTATTACATAGGACATCAGACCCAAAATATTGCGCTACTACTTTCGCCTATAGGGTTCTGGATTCCTACGTATCTACATAAATATTGGACTCCCCATAGCATCATCATCATCTGAGTAGAGGAGAATCGTCTCCGACGCTTAGGGGTCAAACCCGATATTTCGTAGTTCTTAGTTGACATTGCGAATATCATTGTTCCTTCACCATCCATATCCATCATCATTATTATTGCACACACCGCTCACTTCCCTGACGCCCGCTATAGTGTTACTATCAGTTTCCAATACACCTGAACCCGAACCCGATAACCTGAAACCCAAAAAACATCGGACCCAACACTTTTGCATTGGACATTGTAATTATACCTTCGGACATTGTTTCCCGCGCTCCAATTATTGACCTTTCATCACCCACTGACCCCCAAAACTATTCCCAGACCGCAGACCCCTGGGTTGAACGCACTTGTCCCGCAAGTATAGCAGATAGGCAGTGCAAGACCACAACATACAGATATCAGTTTGGAGCCATCTTTGTATAGCCCCACTCTGTGTTGTATACCTACACCAGTGTAAAGAGTTGATTCTTTGTGGGCGCTACTAAAGTGTTACCTTAAGACTCAGAGTGCGAGTGAGACGTTCATCCCAAAGAGACTGCCTATAGAAATGCTCCTTGATATAATGCAAGGGATATCTTGTTAAGATTGAAGGTGAGAGAAGGGAAAACTACCAAGAGTGCACTCGGTGTTCCGAGGATGTGTCCGAAGTACTGAAGTACTCGTCTGAAGTGGTCCGAAGGTGGTCCGACATCAAGAAACGAAGGTCCAAGGTTGCGCAAAGTGTCCGAAGGGCTTCTGGTGAACAGTGAAGGTTCCGAAGTAGTATGGCATGTATGTCGAAGTATAAGACTTGCAAAGTGCGAATAAGCAAAGCCTATCAGAAAACTAAGAGACAGCGAAGCGTGAAATGGCAGTGGTCAGGCCAAACGATCGTTCCGAATGAACAAAGAGATCGATTGTGTGAAGTATGACTATCTGAAAGTGACTCTACTAACTATGACTTGTAGCAGGGAAAGTGAAGTGAAGTGCGAGTAGTTAGCGAGGCAGATTATATCCTACAGCATGAAGGTCCGGAAACTGTGTAGGCAAAAACAGTAGCGAGATAAGCCATCCGAAATGTAATAAGACTTGAGGCGAGCCGCTACAGAGATATGCATGTAATAACATGCGAGGCGTGCTGCTATACGTATAACCGATGGTTTCAACAGGCCGACAACATATGTGCCCCTAAGACATAATCAATAACAGATAACCAAGTGAAAAACGCACCAGCAAAGTCAAACAGACATGGACAGGACATGGTATGGAGGATCGGAAGTGTATACAGGCCTCGGAAATGAACGGACGACCTTCAGATGACTCAGACGAGCGCACGGAACTCTCGGAAGGTAAGAGGAGTGTTGAGGAGTATAATGTGAGATACTGATGAGATTGGCAGGATATGAGCCCAGTGCCAACCCAAGTGCTACACCGGTTTTGTAAATTTCTGACAGAGTGGGAGCACCAGGTGTGATGATGGCAGTGGCTGTCTCCTTTTTCTTGTTCTTCATCCACAGAGCTTGTCCCTCCATTCCACCTCCTTTTGCATAGCAATGTGCATGATCATGGTCTCCCTTATTGCATCTGACTGTAGTGCAGAAGATGCCTTCTGGGTTGTGTCGATGCTTACGTAGACCAGTAATTGTATTAATGTCGCTAGTAGGAGCAGAAAAGAATGACATTGCAGTGTTGGCATATTTAAAGCCAGGAGCTCCTCCCACGAGAATTCTCTCATCAATGACGCATGCTGCCTCTGTAGAAATGTGAGACATGCAGATGTCAAATGCAGAGGGAGTGATGGGAGGAGGAACAGCAGCTGCTGCCACTGCAGCACCTGCAGGAGCAGTGGTGGCAGTGGAAGGTGTCATGGTGGGAAGAGTAATGGTGAGCAGTACCTTGAATTGGGGCCAGGACCCAGAACGAGGAAGTCCACGAAGTAGCTGGAATACAGCCTCAGCATCTGTGTAGACTGCTCCCATGCAGAGGAGCTGTTCTCGAAGAACTGAGTGCTGTCCAATGTAATTAGATGTGTCTGCTGTAGGACTTGGAGTCCTTATAGCCTCATAGAGACTATTTTCATAGCATCCCTTAGGTCCTTGTGTTGCGTGTGCTATAGTGGACATGGCATGCATCCTTTCCATTATCAGCCAACAGCCGTGGCTTGTGTCAGCTTTTCTTTGGCTCCATCACACGTCCTTCCCTTGTCCTACCCATGTCCTCCGCTCGTCCATTGGTGTGTATTTAACTCAATTTGCATTAGACTGACCACAATTCCAAAGCTATATTTTTTGTATTCTCATTACTTGCATTATGGACCCTTGTCACATATTACCACTACCTACTTGGCTCCAAACAGCACTTTGGCACACTCTCATATATACTAGATACTTACGATTTTCATGTATTCATGTATTCCCCCATCGAAATTATCATCTGTTTTCACACAACAAGTCTTAGACTGAAAATCTAAACCTTCGGCATACTACCACATGTGCATCTTTAATGGCTGCACCAACACTCACATTTCATTCACCACATCTATTGTCCAACATTCCTCCTGTTTTCACCATCATGCCATATCGCTTTTGTGTTTGCAGCTTTTTGCATTTAAATCCTTCACTCAGCCGCACACTTTTGCGCTTCTTCAAACCTTCGGCCACATGGCTGTGCATCATATTGCACTTTTGGCGGCTCGCTTGTGCTCGCATCGCATTGGTGCAAATTCTCGTGCTCCCTCCATTCTCAATTACCCTTACTAGTTTCAAAGTTTCCCCTCACATTTTACTTAGAGGAATCATTCTCAGTAGCAATCCCCTTGGGCCAAATCTATACTCGCGTCCAGAGGTCTATTTGAGTTTTACCCCACTTCACCCCTTCTTCCCCTTTCACCCCTTCTCATCTAGCTATCCTTCCTCACACACACTGCAGCATCCTTCATCTGGAGCACATATAGGCTCTGCTGAATGACATGTTGAGAACCCATATCGGTGCAGCCGAAATGGTCTTCAAGGGTCTTCCATGTGTCGCGAGCTGAAACTTTGTGGCTTGTGGATATGAGCTGTTGAACAGATATGGAGAGATGACATGTGATAATGGCTTTAGCCTTGAGATTATTGATGAGCCATTCACAAATGGCAGTCATCTCAGCGGCTGTGGGAAGAAGTGGGTCCACCAGAACAGGTTTGAATGAGGTACTACCTAGTACATCATCAGGATCGATGGTGCCAGTGACATGACACCAGATATCTTCAATTCCCAGCGCATAGGTAACTTCACACTTCCAGGCGAAATAAGAGTCCAGGCCAGTGAGCTCCAGAATATGATCAAGCTTCCCCATGTCAAAGGAAGTGGATACATCAATGGAATAGAGAGTTGTTCAGAGAACAATATCACATGTCATATGTAGTTCAAATGATTTTGTTCAGAAATCAGGGCTCATAACCTGTTGGAAACTAGTATGAGGACACGCTCAGTGTTTGGGAAGAACAACTGATGTTATTATTATTACCTAGTACAAGGACATGCTAAAAGTTCTATAGTAAGAGGCGGCAGGACAACATAAGACTGTGAAACATACCTCAGTGTTTGGGAAGAACAACTGAGGTATGAATGAGCAAAACGGAACAACTATAAGTACTGACACACGTGACAATACGAAAAAGGAAAATAACGAAGACAATGACATCTATGATTCAACAAAGATGAGAGTTGGGATGGTATATTTCTCGAAGACACTCCCAGTGATGACTCAGAATCCAATACTGACATTGATTTAATGTAGTATTTATGTTGAATACATACATATCTTGTACAATAATTCATATTTTGCATGCTTGGGCCATGGCTTGGGCCAGAGCCAGGCCCAAGCCAGCCAGCTTTCATGGCTTTGGCCTGGCCTGGATTTTTGATGAGCCAGAGCCATCTGAAGCCAGGCCAAAGCCATGGCTTTTGAGCCAAGCTGGGCCAGAACATCACTACCTGAGTATGTCTTACCTAAGTTGAGGACTTTGGTGATGTCTGACTACATCAATAAATTCTCACCATCTCAAATTGACACATAG